TCTTTTTGAGACAGGGTCTCCCTGTAGCCCCAGCTGTCCTGGAACTCACTATGTAGACCAGGCTGGCCTTGAACCCACAGAGAACAGAGATCCTCTGCCTCCAGAGTGCTGGGATTAAAGGCGTGCGCCACCACACCTGGCTAATCTTTTATTTTTAAAAAGAAATTTGAATTTTTAAAACTGTAGAGTAAGTAAACAAATCCCCACAAACATCACACTTAATGGTTAAAAACTAAATACTTGAATCTGAGTGTGGTGGTAACCTCAGCTTTTGGGAAATGAAGACAGGAGAACAAGTTAGTGGTCAAGGAGAGCTTAGTGGTTGTATAGTTTGAGGCCAACCCCAGCTACTTAAGACCCTGACTCAAATAAACTAAGACCCAGTGCTTTCTCCCTAAGGTTGGAACATGACCAAAAGACTTTCCTTACCACTAGTACTCAACATAATGCTGGAAGTTCTAAAAAGCATAAAGATTGGGGTGGCAAGATGGCTCAGTAGATAAAGCCCTTGTTATGCAAGCCTGACAGCAAGAGTTCAATCCCCAAAACCCATGTAAATGTGGGAGAAGAGAACTGACACCATGAAGTTGTCATATGACCTCCATACATGGGCTGCAGTATGCACTCACCCACACACAATAATAAATACTTTTTTAAAAAGCATAAACTAAGACAGAAGAAGTAAGACTATAAATGACATTGTCTATGTAGAAAATCCCAAGGAATCTACCAAACAAGCAAAAAACATCTCCTAAAACTTGTAAATTAATTCTGCCAAGTCACAGGATATAAAATAAGCTTTCAAGGTCAATTATGGGGAGCAAGGAGTGGTGGCCCACACCTTTAATACCAGCATTAAGGAGGCAGAGGCAGGCAGATTTCCATGAGATTGAGGTCAACCTGGTCTACATAGTGAATTTCAGGCCAGCTGGGGCTACAGAGTATCCCTGATGAAAAACAAACAAAAAAAAGCTCTTATCTATAAGTGTCCAGAAAAATAAGCAGTTAATAATTAGCCTCCATAAAAATTTAAAACTGACCAAGCAGAGTGAAACTGCTGTGGAACCGGGTAACTGACACAGGTCTTTTTTTTTTTTTTTTTTTAGACAGGGTCTCCCTATAGCCCCAGCTGGCCTGGAACTCACTATGTAGACCAGGCTGGCCTCGAATTTACAGAGATCTGCCTGTCTCTGCCTCCCGAGTGCTGGGATTAAAGACATGCACCACCACGCCCAGCACAGATCTGTTTCTTACAACTGTATGCCAATCTGCAATGCTCTCAAAATTACAAAGGAAATTTTAGTAAACGACACCTGGCAATTTCCTAATCCTGTGGCATCAGTTGGCTGTGGACAGACAGACTGGAGATTTTTTTTTTTTTTTTTGACCAGTTAATCTTATGGGGCTTTTTTTCTACTTTAACAGTAGCTCCAGTTCCAGGGAGCCCAACACCCTCTTCTGGCCTCTATGGACATTGTATGCATGAATGCACTTACATACATGGAAGCAAAACACTTATAAATTTTTTTTAATTTTAAAAATAGTGGAAAGGTGCGAGACCTTGCTGTTTGTCCAGAACAGAAACATCTGGAAAGTTGAAGCCAAGGAAAGAGATTACTGAAGAGGTTGCCACCATTTTTAAAAAAAGAAACAGCATGGTGGCGCATACCTTTAATCCCAGCACTCCGGAGGCAGAGGCAGGCGGATCTCTGTGAGTTCAAGGCCAGCCTGGTCTACATAGTGAGTTCCAGGACAGCTGGGGCTACAGGGAGACCCTGTCTCAAAAAAGACAAATAAAAAAAGAAAAGAAAAGAAACAAAAGCTAAGCACTTTGAGAATAGGATAAATGCCTTGAGGGCATCTCAGGAAATGGCCAGATTCCACCCACCACAGAGAGACTGAAAGAGTTAAGCCCTTTGAAAGACTTTTCCCTTAAAGAGAAAGTGCTTCAAGGTGCCCTGTTTGCAAAGAATCATCTAAAGAAAGGAATTCCCTGGGACACCTTTCACAGTGCTCAACCTCCCAGGCACTCAGAAATGGCTACAGCCATGGTCCAAGTGAGTTTTGTTACTGCTCTAGCTGGCAGCAGGCCTTGGACATTGGTTTTGCAGGCATGTCGAATCTGAGAGTTACAGGGTCCAGGAGGCTCACGAAGACTTAAAAGGAAAGCCTGAAAAGCAAAGCCAAGTCAGGTGGGGTCAGAGTCCTCGAAGATTGCCCTTGAGAGGCCAAACCTTGAAGCTGTCTGTGAAAGTAAAGCCTATGTTGTAGAGGACCCCCCCCCCAGCATGCTGGAGATGCCAGGAATGTGGAATGTCTAGCAAGGAAAGCCACAGGGAACGCACCAAAATAATAATTCCTCCCTTTATCTTGTTTCTGATAGGTATTGGTCATAACAATGATAAAAATGACTAATAATCAGTTAAGAAAGCGTACTGTGTCTATAGTCTACATGGCAAATAGCACGTGGATTGAGAACATAATCTTTCTCCACCCAGTTTTTGTTTGTCTTTTGAGACATAGCAAGGTGGAACTTGCTATGTAGACCAGGTTGGCCTCAAATGCACAGAGATCCATTTGCTTCAGCTTCTGGAGTGTTAGAATTTAAGGCCATGCACCATGCTTGGATCCAGTGTTTACTTGATTCATCAAAGACCTTGTTCAGTTGGAATGACATTTCAGCATGCACTATGCTTTGCTTTTATCTTACTAATTGAGATAAATGAAAATACCATCCCAGGCACATGTGAGGAGCATGCATTTGCCAAAGGCTGCGATGAATGAAGGAGTTGGGTAAGAACCAATGAAAGCTATCAGCCTGATAGAAGAGGGCATCTTAAACCCTGTGCTATGCTAGAGAGACCCAGTGAAACTGCAGTGTGGACCTAGAAGGATGTCTGCTTGGAGAGCCAGTTGTTAACCACTGGCAGTATACCACTGGTTGGGAGTGAGTCCCAACTAGGCAGATCCTTCCCCTCAAACTACCATGTCATTGCCTGTCCATTTCTCTATATTGTTGAAAACCCTCAACCCCAGGAAGAAAACTGCTGGGGGTTTTCACAGTGTCTAAAACCCAAACAGAATGGGAGAGGAGGCTGGGTTTTCTTAAACATACAGATTCCCAGGTTGTGGCCCTGGGCTCCACATGTCTAGTCAAAGTAGGGCCTCAGGCTCTGGGCAGGTTACTAATCCCAGGCATTTTACCTTGGTGTCCCTTTGGAGAGGGAGCAATCAGGCCTCATGATATATCCACTGGCTATACTTCCATCTTCTCCTCCTCCTCTGTTTCCCCACCACCCAGGCTTCGGTGTACTGTGTTGCTGCAGTTCTGTGGACAGCAGCCAAGTTCAGTGTTCCACGTGACCACAAGTTGGCCCTGCCACGTAGGCTCAAGATGCTCCTCCTGGACATGGCCAGGCGCCATGCCTCAGAACGGCCATCTGCAGCTGAGGCCATCAAGGTAACTGCACTACAGTCAGGCCTGCTCACAGTCCCAAGTGTTGGGATGCAGCGTGGGGTCACCACCATGGCCTATGGTGTTGAAGCTGCTGCTAACCACAGTTGTTTGTCTATAGAATTGCTCTCACCTGTATAGGTGGTGCATTAAGGGTTGCCATGTCTTATGCATGTCATCCTGACCCAGCCCTTCTGTGGCTCTGTAACCATACCTCATCTCCAACATGCCAAGCGGCCTATGACACCCATCTTGTGTCTCCACTGTCACAGGCTCCTGCTGTTGTTTTAAAAAAATATATTTTATTTATTATGTGTATGAGTGTATTGCCTGCATATGTGTAAATGCAACTGTATCATGTGATGCCTACAGAGATCAGAAGAGGGCACTGGATTCACCTGGAACTGGAGTTATAGACAATTGTTAGCTACCATGTAGGTGCTGGGAATCAAACCCAGGTCCTCTGCAAGAGCAGCCAGTGCTCTTAACCACTGAGCCATCTCTCCAGCCCATCTTCTCTGAAGTTTCATTCACAGCTGTGACAGACAGGAAATCCAGACACCAAACTGCCCAGGGCTAGGACTCTGCAGAAAAGTGCTTGGGGCCTCTCTGTCTGAAATGTTCTCTGCAGTGTCAGGAGAAATGGGGCAGGTACAGCAGAGCTGATGCCTGGCCCATCATACTAACCTGGAGGGATGTCTCCTTGCTTTCAGGTATGCAGTGGCTACCTCCTTCAGCGAGGCATGGACAGCAGGAAGATTCTAGCCCATCTGCGGGCATCCACCTACAAGGCAAGACAGTGTTCCCCAAAGCTCATGCAGACTCCTTCATGCCACCATGTACACTCACAAGAACCTGCTTGTCTCTTTCTACTTTGTAGATCAGTGGGGAATCTAAGAAAGAGGTGATGGCCACTTTCCCAAAATATCTGTTCCCAACAGCCCCTGCCTGAGCATGCTGCCAACAACTACACAGTGCAGGCACATTTTCCTGTGAGGCTATCCCCTCTCTGGTCCTCCACTGCCTCTATATAAGTGCCTGTCAGCCCCTGACTGGTGGATGGGACCTCAAGGTCCCATCTTGAGGATGGCAATGGCAGTCTCTCCCCAGAAACACTGGACTCCCTAGCAAGCTTTGGAGGTTGGCCTCCAAAATCTTCCCATTCCCTAGAAACCAGCCACAACTCACTGAAAGGGCTTCCATGGCTCTCAGGAGCATAGTCCCTTTGTGCCAGCTCCCCTAACCCACAGACAACTCCTTTGATACCTGAGGGCTTTGAATCAGATGTCCATGCTGTACCTCCCGGGCCCCCATTGGCCCCTGACTAGCCATTTGTGACCTTCCACCCCAGGTTCACCCAGAAGAAGAGACTATCGGTCTCCAAAATGCCTTCTCAGTGGTTGAACTGAAACCTTGCATGGTGCCTGCTCCTGAGACCAGCCCAGGTGGGCCCCACCCCCTCCCAAGCCTTTCTACCCACTGGCTTCTGGACCCATGCCATAACTGTCCCCCACCCCTATAGGCCTGTCCTGAGTGGACACCCACAAGGCATATCATCCAGAAGGCAGGGCAGCATGTACAAGTTGAAGCATGTGGCCCACCCTTGCCCTGGGTCCTGTCTCCCTCTACTAGGACTCCGCTCTAGATTCCCTCTGCCACTTGTACATGTTCTGTGCAGCCAGTCCCAACCCTCCCTCTAGTCCACATCTTCATTGCCTCCCAGTCTTCCTTCTGCCTGGCTCCTTCTCAGGAAGGTCTCCAGAAGAGTCTCCTCCTTAGCAGCATCTCAGCCTCCTCACTGTGTCCCACACCCTGTCCCCTAACTACAGCCCTCCTCAGGCACTATCAACCCCTTCCTACACATTCTCTCTCTCTCTGCTCCTCTCCTCTCCTCTCCCCGCCCCCTTCTCTCGGGCTACGCTTGACCCAGAGCTACCTGTGGGCTTCTGTGAGAAATACAGTGCCCAACTTTGGAACCTAAAGTGTGGGGTCATGCTAGGGCATCTGCTAACCTTCCCCCCACTGCCCCTTCTGTCCTCCAACTGCATGCTGTCCCCAGGCTTCCTGCAAGTCAGCGGTGACACCAAGCTCATCGCTGTGCCAGGGCCTTTGCCTGGTCCACCCTCCTCCTGCAAAGGAGCCTGTGAACTGCCAACAGCCTTCACCTCTGAGGCTACTCACTTTAAGCCCATAGTCCTGGCTCAGGACACAGGTGTAGCCAGGTGAGTGTCCTAACTCCCTTCTAGCAGCAGCCTCAGACACAGGTAGCCCCTCCTGAGTTCTCTTCCTCTCTCCTCACAGAGACCAGCTTGCCTTGTCCTCAGAGCCAGAAGAGAGGCCCAAGGAAGGGAGTGGCCAGCTGGATAGAGAGGGAGCAGGAAGGCAGACAGCCCAGGAACTTGCTGAGGATACCAACCTGAAGCTGTCTGACCAACCAGTACATAGTCAAGAGCTGCAGGGAGCAGCCCCAGAACTTGCTGGTGACCCAGTACCTCACAGCTCAACCAAGGGGTGCTTCTGCCCAAGTGGCCCTGTCCAAGCTACCCAGCCAGAAGAGGCCATGTCAGGGATACCTAGCTCTCTTGCCTCCTCCCTGCCCCCTGAGCACAGGTCAGATGATCAGAACCCAACAAGTGATACTCTACCCCCAGGGTCCACCTCAGCCAGCCATGGTCCCCGACATCCATGCAAGCCACCCAGGGGCAAGGCTGCAATGAGTCCAGACAGCCCTAAGGATCCAGATGGTCATCCTGAGAAGCCTCGGCCAGCAGATCGAAAGCTTGGTCCATCCAGCATGGATACGTCATCTTCCCCTAAGATGACAGCCTGCCCCTCACTACAGGAAGCCATGCGCCTCATCCAGGAGGAATTTGCCTTTGACGGCTACTTGGACAACGGGCTAGAGGCACTAATCATGGGTACGAAGGCCACAGTGGCCACCCTGGAAGCCCAAGACCAGGGACAGGCTGAGGGAGGCAGACCCAGCCCACAGAGCATCAGTGTTGAGGGTCTCAGGGCTCTACATATCTGACCTGCAGAGGGGCTGAGGTCAGTCAGGACAGCAAGGGCAGCTTCTAGAGAAGATGCTCAGATACATCATGCAGGAAGAGAGCCTTGGAGTCCCCAACCTCCAATCCCCCCAGCCCTGAGACCACCTCCTCCCAGTAATCCAGAGCAAGGGAACCAAAAAAGCACCTGCATTGTAACCTGACCCACCCTTTCCAAACCAGGGGAGTATATTTACGCCTTGAAAGACCTCACCTTTGCCACCTTCTGTGGTGCCATATCTGAGAAGTTCTGTGATCTGTACTGGGATGAGCAATTGCTGCAGAACCTCTTCAAAGTGGTCAATGGGCCAGCCTCACCCTCTGAGAGGTGAGTACCTGGACCCAGCTGTCCCTTCCCAGAGTCTCCTGCTCCTGCTGTCTTGGTGCCTACAGTCTCCCTTATACCTTCTGAATATCCCAACCCAGTCCAGGGACTGCTGGTGTTCCATGGTTGGGGGCAGGGACAGGAGGGGCAGGAGTCACTGATGGCTGACAGTTCTCCTACTTGCTTAAACAGTAAAATTGGCTAAAGGCAGTCAGTTATAGTGGTACACATCTGTAATCACAATATCTGAAAGGCAGAGACAGGAGGATCACCACAGTTTGAGGCTAATGTGGTTTACATTGTGAATTTCAGACCAGCTAGAATCACTTAGTGAAATCCTGTTTCAAAAAACCAAATAAATAGCTGCAGGCAAGCACACCTGCCTCTGTCCTACACACAATCCAACAGCATTCCCACAGCTCTGAGAAGGCACTCTGGACTGTGCACAACTTCCATCTAGTAGGGGAAGCTTTGTGGGGCCAGTACCCAGGGCATGCTGATCAGCAGGGAAATGACAGGGTCCCATTCTGCCTCAGTGTGCTCGGGTGAGGCTCTGTGCTAGGACTTCTCTGCACAGGCCTCAGGCATCATCTGGTTCGGGTGCTGACCACTGTTCTCATTGCCAGCACTTCTGAAGAACCAGGATCCCAGCCAGAGTGCTCACCCAGAAGCTGCTCATTGTCCAGCAAAAGGCCCTCACTGCATGGACTGGGTAAGAGACAGCCTGCTCCATGGGGACAGGTGAGAATTGTCCTCAGTAGGGTACTCTGGACAGTTATAGGAAGGCTTCTGGTGTCAAGGGTAGTCTGGGAGTCACCCCAGAAGCCCAGAGTTTAGGGCAGGGGTCTTCAGAGGAGGGTCTCCCATCCCTTCATCAGCCAACTCAGTTCTGACTCTTCACATCCTCTCTGGAAGTAGAAGCCACTTAAATGCCAAAGCTGGCTTTCTGGATTGTTAACCAGGCTTCAGATCAACTACAAACTCAAAAAGTAGTTTGAGGAAAGAAGGCCAACTAGCTATGTGGGAGTCTCTAGGGACAGACAGGTGCAGGGCTGTTATCACCTGGGTCTGTCTACTGGCTGTGATAGGGGTAATGGTTTTGTCCTTACTTAAGTAAATCAGGGAGCAGATGAGCAGGCCCTAGGTAGGAAGTCTACCTGATCCTGCATGGCCAGGGAGCCAGAAGACTGCCAAAACTGACAGAAGCTTCTAGAGTTGGTAGAGATCCAAGAACCCTGACAGGTTTGTGTCTGAATGACAGAGTTGGGTTTGATTTTAAATGCTCTGGAAGAATAGCTGGGGCCAGAGGGAACAGGTCCTGGTTGAGGTTAATGCTGGAAGAGGACAAAGTCCAGGTCCCAGGGAAGTTTGAAGCAGGGTGAATAAGTGCCTAATGGAGCTGATCCAGGGAAGTCTCACTTCTGGCTGAGCCTGTCTTTTCATAAGCACCTCAGTGTCTCCAGAGTCCCCTCTCAGTTCCACCTAGCACAATAACCATGGCTGGGACCCTTCAAGAAGGTATCCAGGATTCTCCCCACAACTGGAGGTAGACATGCTACTTATTGACCATTATCTTTATTTTAAGGCAAGGAAAAGCCACCCACAGCTCGGGGCAATGGAGGGCCCTGCTCACCCACAGCGCTGTCAGACACAGACTCTGATACACTCTCCCAGGGAAACTTTGAGGTTGGATTTCGGCCTCAGAAGTCAATAAAAGCCACACGAGAGCAGCAGCCTGAGGCCGAAGTGGATGGGCAGCCAGGCCCAGGCCAGGAGCCAGCTGGCAGGGCTCCAGACACTGTGGCCAGGCTGGCCAAGTCTGAGGAAGGCAGCCCACCTGTGCCCCCAGGCACAGCTGATTTCCAGAGCTGCAGCCCTGGTTGGTCCAGTGCCTTCTATGAAGCTGACTGCTTCGGGGCCGACGTCTACAATTACGTGAAAGATCTGGGGAGGCAGAAAGCCAACGGGCACTCAGAGCTGGAAGCCCAGAGTCCAGTGAGTGCAATGCTCTTTTAATTTTGTAACAAATTCATGATCAGGTCTGCTCATAGGTAGAGGCTAAGCTTGTAACACTCTTACTACTTCACTGAGGTCTTGCAATGTAAGTTACCCTGTGGCCCATGCCTATCTGTGTACCTACCAGAGTGTGAGTGTCATAAGGAGGCCAAGACTCACATTTTCCTCTCTATCCCATATGTTGTGTAAATTTTAGGTCATGCAGATTTCTCTAAAATCAGTCAAAACAGTCCACAAGGAATCTGCCTGATGTCCAGTATTAGGCAAAGTGCTGACAAATGTCAAAACTAACTACAAACTAAGATTACCAAGGCCTCTTCTGGTGTGAGCCTCTTCTGGTTCCCTAAACCCTCCCAGAGGGGTGCCAGGGTCACAGAAAAGTATGAGTGGGCTGTTGTTGGAGATCCTCAGGCCTCAGGCTGTGCTTCAATTTTCAGACAGCAGAATACAGCCTGGAACATAGCTCACCTACATACATTGCCCTGGATATATACTGTCCACAGGGGAGCCACCAGCAACATATTCCTGTGATCATTTGAACAGTGGCTCACATGACTAAGGAATTGACATTTTGATCTTATTTAGCTTAATAATCTAGACGGCCTCAGATGCCCAGTGGCTTCATGTTGGGGACCCAGGCACTGGGAAGGTAGCTCACAGTGCAGGGAAGACCTGACCCTTCTCCCTGCCCATGAGAAACTGGCTGGCTGTCCATCAAATGAAAACTGGATTTGAAGCCAAGATGTCTGCTGTCAGAACCCAGACTCTCCTTTAGGGCCTGACCTGGGAAAGTAGTGTCCCAGCAGTTTGGGGACAGCGGGAACTGCATCCAGCAGGCTTCTCTGTCAAGGACTGGCCGTGAGTGAAGACCTCATTTTGATTTCAGTCAGTTTTTCCTAGTTATGCCCTCAGGTAACTATTCATACTCTGCCCACAGTAAGCTGGAGTAGGACCCAGAGGTCTTGGGATTCCTGACCTCACAGTGAAACTGCAGAGCAGCTGGTTTCTGCTCAAGCTGGATGCCTTTCCACAGCCACCAGGAAGGGCTGAGATAAACTCTGTCACTCTGCCCAGCCAACCACCACAGTCCAACCAGTGGGTTCCACAAAGCAAGATTTGGGAGCTCACCTGCACATTACAGAAATCCACATGGCTAGACTTCTCTTTGTTTTGTTTTGTTTTTGAGACAGCGTTTCCCTGTAGCCACAGCTGGCCTAGAATTCACTATATAGACCAGGCTGGCCTTGATCTCACAGAGATTCATCTGCTCTGTCTCCCAAACGCTGGGATTAAAGGCATAGTGGTGAACACCCAACTATGGCTAGGCTTCTTTAAGCCCAACTGAGAAAGAGCATTCATCTATTTCTGCTTCCTGATTGTAGGTGCACTATTGCCAGTCACCTCCTGCACCTGCCATGATGGACTGTATCCCCTGGAACTGAAAGTCAAAATAATAAACCTTTAGAAAGAAAGAAAAAAGAAAAAGAGACAGAGAGAAAGACAGAGACAGTGACCAAGCCAGGCATGTGGTACATGCCTTTAATTCCAGCACAGAGAGGTTGAGACACGAAAATCATGAGTTCAAGGGCAGACCGGGCTATGAAAGTGAATTCTATGCCAGCCTGTCTCAAAGAAGAGGAGAGAAAAAGAAAATGACCTGAAAATAGAGCTGTCCCATTTGGGGAAGGTCTCCAGCTCTATAGTAACACCCCCACCTCCCGGGTACAGTCAGCTGCACAGAGGTCCTGGAGATACTGCAGTTATGTGTGGTCAGACACAGAGCAAACGGTTGCTGCAGCTCATTCCCACAAGAAACAGGAACACAGCAGCCATATACCCATACCCACTATGCACACTGCTCTCTGTGTGTCCCTCAGGGCTTGACAAGGTAAAGGGTTTGTGGGGAGAGGAGGAGATCTCTGTGGCAATAGAAAGACAGCCTACCCTGAGCCCAGTACTAGTCTGGGAGACTAGGCAGAATGGAGGGGCCTTTTGGGCTACATGTAAGAGGTAACTGGTCCCCCAAGAGCAAAGAGGCCCTGGCCCTTCTGAGTAGGAGTCTAATTTTTTTATCTGTTTTTATTTTGTATGAACGAGTGTTTTGCATATGTGTATAAGTGTATCTATGTCATGTAATGCCAGAAGAGGGTGTTGGATCACCCTGGAACTGGAATTATGGGTGGTTGTTATCTGCCATGTGGGTGTTGGGAACCAAACCCAGGTTCTCTGCAAGAACAGCCAGTACTCTTAACTACTGAGCCATCTCTCCAGCCCCTGAATAGGAGTCTAGGGAACTCTTTAGAAGCAGACAGGTAATGCCAGCCTGGTAGGTAAGGAGTGAGTATACCTCAGGAGATATACACATTCTGAGGCTGGGTCACATCTCAGTGATCAAGCCAGGCCTGGGGTTGAGGATAGGACCTTCACTGTGCCTCGCCTTCCTGCAGTCAACCCAGGGACACTGGTGGAATCTGGCATTCTTGAAGGACATGCCAGCAAATGTCAATCTCAAATGAACCCCTGAGGCCTACTCCTCCTGAGGTGCTCACTCTTTTATCTTGATTCCTTTTGCTGTCCTTGGCTCAACCAAACAGCTCCAGCTCTAACACATTCCTCCTGTGGTCACTCAACAGCTTCCCTGAGGACTGCCTCACGAGCCAGGCTAACATGCCTTCCATGTCTACATCTTGCATGGAAAGCAAGTGGTGCCTGAACCCACAGTTGCTCTGGGCTTACACACTGTGCTTCCTCTTAGGAGTTGGAGCAGCAGCTCATGATAGAGAAAAGAAACTATCGGAAGACCCTGAAGTTCTACCAGAAACTCCTACAGAAGGAAAAGCGGAGCAAAGGTAGTGCTTGTACAGCTGCCTGCCACAAATCAGGTGTTCCATGAATCTCAGGAACCATGTGCCAACTCTGCTCTGCCCACAGGATCTGAGGTAAGGACCATGTTGTCTAAACTTCGAGGACAGCTGGATGAGATGAAATCCAAGGTGCAATTCCTGAGCCTGGTCAAGAAGTACCTCCAGGCAAGTAGCCCACCCTCCTGCTCCCCTCTAAAATGTATGTTGGCCCTCAGATGGGTTTCCTACAGTTTGTTTGTGAATCAGGACATAATTGGTCATACTCACAGGCCCCATGTGAGGGTTCAAAATGTTGAAAAGCCCTGCTATCCCTGGGTCAGCAGCAAGGTGACCCATAGGCATGCACCCAGTGGGCAGCCATGATTTGTTCCTCTCCGGACAGGTCATGTATGCAGAACGCTGGGGGCTGGAGCCCTGTGCTCTGCCAGTGATTGTGAACATTGCAGCAGCCCCCTGTGACACACTGGATTTCAGCCCTCTGGATGAGTCCTCCTCCCTCATCTTCTACAATGTCAACAAGCACCCATGCAGTGGCCGGCAAAAGAAAGCCCGTATCCTGCAGGCTGGCACACCCCTGGGACTCATGGCCTACCTCTACTCCAGGTGCGTCAGTGCCCCCAGAGGGACCCTCTGACCCTACGGCAGATTTTGAGAACAAAAGGAGAGAACCAGGGAAAGCTCTCTCTAGCATGAATCATGTAGTTAGAGACTTGTTAGAACTTAAAATTGATTTGTTAACTTTCACATGCTACATGACCAAGCTGCTATCTACAGAAGTTTCTGTCACAAGCCCCATGAGACCCCTCTAGCCCTGGCACTGAGTCATAAAGTGTGCCCAGTCAGCACTTTGGGAAATATAGGGGCAGGCTGCAGGATTAACATGTCAGGACAACCTCAGACTTAATCATCCACAGGAGCCTCCAAGGTATTATCTGGATTCTTCCAAATCACTTATCAAAACACCCCATAGCGGGCCTTAGGCTCCTGGGCTCAGTGTACTATATGGAGTATTTCTGTGGCCTTTGTCTCTGAGTGTGAACACCACTTTGGTGTCAGACGGCCTCAGTAGCAAATGCTGGAATACTTGCCTCTATGTCCACTCATGTGCCCAGGGTCACATGAGACCCACAAGGATCGGAGCCAGAATCTCAGCCCTCCCTCCCCTTCTCCCTATCAGTACCCTTCACTCTGCCTCTCTCTGCCTCACATGGCCTCAGCCTCCCTTTGTTTCTAGGCATTCAAGCTCCCAGCAGTTCTCCTCACCCTGATGACCTGTCTTAGGCTCTATCCTGGGACCAGAGAGGCCATTGTCCCTTTCACAGGTCTGATACCACTTTGGAGCCATTGGGGTCCTCTTTGAGCAGAAGGCTATCACAATCCCAGATCTGATTGGCAGGTGTCATCAGGAAAACAACCACAGGATAAAGTTCCCTCTACAGAAGCCTGGGCCTCTTGGGGTGCACTTGATGAATGCATGGATAGTGGGCATATGTGTGTGATGTTCTGAGGAATTGTGTGGTATGACATGTAGAGTGTATGTAATTTGTATGTGATGTGTGTAGTGTTCTGTGGGGTAGTATGTGGTATGGTGTACATGATTGTGGAGGGTACATGTGGATTGTGCATGAGTGGTGTAGAAATAATGTGTATGGTACACATGTCATATGCACACATGTGGGCATATTGTGGATATTGTGCAGTGTACTATGAAATGTGGGGATATGTATGCATGATGCCCATGAGGGAGTAAAGTTTGGTAGGTAGGGCGGGTCCTGTGTGGTGTGGTGTCTGATGCATATGTGGGAGTGTGTGGTGATGGTGTGTGACACTATTCCTAGGGAGACACAGACAAATGTTTACTCACCCCAGATGGGGAAAGGATAACAGACCAAAGTAATGATACCACCAAAGCCCATCTTGGTGAACCAATGAGTTTATTGGGTTACTTACAGGAGCATATATGACTCAAGGGCAGCTGCCCATTGCAGCATGAGTGGCTACTTATGAAAAGCTGGAACCCTGTAGCTCACTGCACAACTTGCAGGCAGCTGAACAGGTCAGAGAATCTCTTCTCTGGCAGCTGATAGTCAAACTCTCTTCCAAGTGGTTCAGCTGGTCTGAGTTTCCTCAGCAATCATTCCTATTTATATAACCCTGGGGAGGGAAGGCCTTTGTGCATCTGTGATTTCTGAGTTGTTTACTTCCTGAGTCTTAATGAGCCTCCCTTTAGAGTAGATGAAGGTATTATCTGGTAAGTGTGGATGCATGTGTAGGAGTGTGTGGTGCATGTTTGGACAGAGTGCAATGGAGGGCAGAGCCTTCTTTTTTTAAAAAGCCCTCCATAAGAGACTTTCTCAGCTTTGAGTACTCCATGGGCACTGTTTCTGCAGGACAGACTGGGCAAGGGGTCAGCTTAGTCCCTGGCCTGAGTATGGTCATCATGCCCCCAGAAGCCCATAGGGGTAGACCAAGCTCTTGATTTGATCTTTGATATGATGTCTTCCACCCAGGGACTCCTCTTCTGCCCAAGAGGGGTCTTGCTAGGTCCCCTCATCTTTGTGACCATTGGCCATCACACACCCCAAATCATCATATAAATTCATTTAGAGCTCCTGTTAGTGTCCCTGGCATAATGTTTTCTTGAACCCCCTCCCCTAAGGGTGAGGGGTGCCCAGTGAGGTGTGACAATCCCCCTCCCACATATCTGCCTGCTGTATCAAGGAAGCCAAGCCCCTGTGAGCACACAGGGCTCCTTTCCTCATGCAGCAATCCCTTCCATGAGCCTTACTGTGCATGCACAGCAGCTGTATGACCTGCAGCCAGCCCTTAGTACACAGGACACAGAACAGAGATGCTGAGGGCCACTGTGACGGTCTGACAGTGGAAGTGTCAACAAGAGAGCCTCACCATGCCTCAGGAAACACAAGAATTTCAAAGTAGACCAGTTCCCCTGTTTTACTTCCCCCAGGGGGAGGGGTCTACTGCCTGCGATTCTTCCAACGAACTACATCCCCCACAGTACATATACTCACAGGACAGCTTATATAGACCCACACAGAGATAACACAAAACTCACCAAGTTCTCACCACACACAGATCTCACACACGTTCACACATGTACACGTAAATCTCACACATAATCACTCTTAGTTCTCACCTACATGGAGATTTCACACGTAACTCAACAGACCCAGAGATGGCAAACACATTCACATGCATACACATAGAACATACACTGAGAGACTATACACATATTCACATATAACACACAGGCACACTCACCTCAGGACAGACATTCACTGCAACAGAGCTTCAGGATGGGGCCCTGATAGCCCAGGCCCAAGGCCCAATCCCACACTCTACCTCCAGTGATGCTTTCCTTGAGGGCTACGTCCAGCAGTTCCTCTACACCTTCCGGTACTTCTGCACACCACATGACTTCCTGCAATTCCTCCTCGACCGCATCAGCAGCACCCTGTCCAGGTACCGGCTCCTGGGGTAAGATCCTGATCATTTAGCCTGTGAAGGACCCTGAGAGGGATGAGGGTACAGGTGGAGCCTCCCTGGAGAAGGTTGAGGCAAGATGGAGGAGCTAAAAGAACACAGACACAGAGAAAGGAATCCAGCAGGGGATGGTGGCTGGAGTCCATGCACTGGGGGCGGGAGTACTGGCAGGGCCCTTACCTGCTATCACAAGGGAACAGAGTAGCCTAGACCCAGGCAGTGAGACAAGAGAGAGTCAGGCCCTTACAAGCCTTACAAGGCCAACCCAAGTGGAGAGGAGCCTGTGGGCTGTACCATCCCTCTACAGGGCACCAGGGCCCCACACCAAGTCAGAGATTAGAAAAAAAGGGTAGTAGACATCAGGAGATTGTTTTCTTCCTTCTGGCCTGGCCTGTTGTTACTCAGACTCCCCCTATACTTGTCACCCTGTACATGCCCGGCTGGGGCTCATGCTGAGGCCTGCTATCTGCCTCCAGGGCCCACCAGGATCCTAAATCAACTTTCACAAAGATCTACAGGCGAAGTCTCTGCGTCCTGCAGGCCTGGGTGGAAGACTGTTACGCTGTTGACTTCACAAGGAATGCAGGGCTGCTAGGACAGCTTGAGGACTTCATCTCTTCCAAGGTGACTGCTGCACTGACCAGCCTGGCAGAGAGAGCCACTGCCCTGGGCCAGGAGCAACAATGACACTTGTGCTTCTGCCTAGATCCTGCCCCTGGATGGCTCTGCTGAGCACCTGCTCAGTCTCCTGGAAGTAGGCACTGACCGGAGGGCTGATAGTACCTCTGCAGGCAATGACCTAGAGGACCCTAAGGAGGCAGAAGAGAACACCAGACCCTTTAATGCCCTCTGCAAGAGGTTCTCAGAAGATGGTATCACCCGGAAGGTGGGAACCTTTCCTGGGGAGGGCTTCTCTAAACAGGAATGCATCCTGAAGGACATGGCATGCACATATACACATGCAGAAACAAGACATGCATGTGCAGACACCCTGCACATATGCACCCTGCATAGACGTGCACATATAGATATGTGTACACATAGACACACATTTGTGTGCATGTATATGCTGCTCATTCACAACCCAGGCACTACCCTGTGGAAAGACAGCCACAGACCAGTGGGGTTTACTCAGTCCTAGCCAGTGTTCTACTGTGATTCTCTACCCTCACCTTCCTGATCTTCAGGGCAGAGATCTGGGTGGAAGAATCTACTAGGGTCAGTGAATAACCTTTCCACCAGGACATAAAGACAGCCCCCAAATTTCAAGTGTACCCATAGGTGATCTGCCTGAGTGACCAGGATAGGCATCTTCATGCTAATAAACCTGAGTGGGAGGGATTTGCTCTCTGGCTCTAATTTGCCAGCCTAAAGAGTCCTAGGCAGAGCCAGCCTATCCTTATTCTGCCCTACCCTGGCCTGGCTTGGCCCACCTGACCTGGAGCATCACCTGTCTTGCCTGCAGAGCTTCTCCTGGAGGTTGCCCCGGGGCAACGGGCTAGCACTGCCACACCATAAGGAGCGCCAGTACTCCATAGCATCTGCCCTGCCTAAGCCCTGCTTCTTTGAAGACTTCTATGGCCCCTATGCCAAAGCCAGTGAAAAGGGACCCTACTTCCTGACTGAATACAGCACCCACCAGCTCTTCACTCAGCTGACATTGCTGCAACAGGTACGTGGGAGCTGGGAACGCCAAGAGAAGGCCACAGACCTCACACATGGGCCAGCTGCAGGTGTCATGGAGCCCAGGGATGCTGTGATGCTTATGAGACCTCAGCAGCCACTTCCTAGAGGAACAGATGGATGGTCAGCCAAGGGGCCTTGTTGCTAGTGCACAAGTCCTGAGGAGCTGTGTTAAAATCAGGGAAACCCAAAGGTTGAGGCAGACATAGGGTCTAGCCAGGCAAGATCCTCTGCCCTAGCTACACGGGGCACACAGACCACCATGCGCTAGACATCTCCCTACTGGAGCTCCTTGTGTCTCTGCCAAGCCCTAGACACTGATAAGCTTCTCCCCTTGCTCCTGTTGTCAGCCCAGAGCCTGGCCAGCCCTTACCTAGGTCCTCACCATCCTTCAACCCAGCACAATGAGGCAGGTAACAGCACTACTGAGCAATCTTGGTTGCTATCATTAGGCTAACCAATGTCACAAGCCCCGGTGACTTGCACATAGGAGCCCTACTAGCTGAACCATCATACATTGCAGGTTGACCTGTGATTTCAGAGATGCCTCCAAAACACTCAAGACCTCCTTGAGACACTACCTTAGCTATCAGGTCCTTGGAGGGCAGTGGGTTGACCATCTGTTTCCATGTCTCTGACAGGAATTGTTTCAAAAGTGCCATCCTGTTCATTTCCTAAACTCACGGGCCCTGGGTGTCATGGACAAAAGTACAGCTATTCCCAAGTGAGTGTCCACTCCTAAGAGTGGCCCTGGGAGTCCTTGGTTTAGAGGGTTGGTGGAAGGGTCTTGTGGGGAAGGAAGCTCCCCTGAAGGCACTGTGGATGCTCTTGGCTAAAGGGAGATGTTTGGTTCTCATCCGGAGGGAGGGGTGCCTTGACCACTTTGCACAGAGGCCTCATAGCTCCAGGGCTTGGCAGGCCACATTCTTACATCGCGGGATACAGGTTCCATGATTTTCTTCCAGAGCCAGTTCTTCTGAGTCTCTGTCTGCCAAAACCTGCAGTCTTTTCCTGCCCAATTATGTCCAGGACAAGTATTTGCTACAGCTTTTAAGAAAGGCAGATGATGTCAGTACCTGGGTGGCTGCTGAAATTGTGACCAGCCATACATCCAAGGTAGGTACCTCCATGGCTCTGTGGTTGTAATGAGATGTGGGGTTCTGCCTGGCAGCATCCTGTGAAACCACAGTCAGTCCCTTCTCTAGGTGTAGGGAATCCACACTTCATGTGGATTCAGAGCCACACTCAGCCCAAGGCAAACAGAAAGAGTGAAGTGCTTACTCATGTCAGCAGAAACATCCAACTGTCTCAACTCATTACACGGTAGTCAGAGCCCAGCTTGATACTGTCTCTCTCTTTACTGGGGATGCTCCAGAGATATCAGCCACTTGGAAATCAGAATATGTGAAACTTCTGTCAGGACACTGCACATGCCAGTGTTCACATACACAGTTTCTTACAAACACACAGCACTTTACTCAGTTCTTTATACATACAGTCACTCCATACTCAGTTCCTAAGATCAATGCCCAACATGCACAGCCCCTCACTGCTATTTTAACAAGTCCTCAGATGTTCTGTTTGTTCCCTTTTTTGTTTCGTTTTGCTATGTTGGTGCTAGGGATCAAGCCCACTGCCTTGTGCATATCTATCTGTCAAGAACTCTACCACCAAGCTGCACCTGTCTGTTTGTCTTTAAAAACACTGAGCATTGTTTTCTCATTTCAGCTGCAAGTGAACTTGCTGTCCAAATTCCTACTGATTGCAAAATCTTGCTATGAGCAGAGGAACTTTGCTACAGCCATGCAGATCCTGGGTGGTCTGGAGCACCTGGCCGTGAGGCAGTCTCCTGTGCGTCACTAGGGTTCAGGGGGCTGAGGGTTTGGGAAGGTACACAGGGCCATAAAGGTCTCACCTGTGCTTCCACCTCAGGCCTGGAGAATCCTGCCTGCAAAGATTGCTGAGGTCATGGAAGAGCTAAAAGCTGTGGAGGTTCGTACAAGCTCTTTGCAGAGCTTCCCCTGAATGATTTGCTCCATATCCCTTAGGGAACTCGGAACAAGGCCATGGCAAGGCTCCCTACACACATGGCACAGAAGCTCTGCTGAGCAAAGGTGCCTTACCTGGCCTGCCTGGTCTGACTTTCCAACCCAGGCTACAGGTACCCTTGGGAAGGGACCCAAGTCTGCAGACAGGGTCTGGGCCAGGGCAACTGGGAGGTGTGATCCAGTGGCACAGAGGTGACCTTGTGACATGACAGACAAGGAAACAGAGCTTAAAAGATCAGGTTTTTCCAATGAGGCCGTAGGAACCTTGCTGACATCAGCCTGAGGCAGATACCCAAGAGCAGCTACAACCTGTGCCCATCCCCAAGCTCAAAGTCCAGCCTTGCTTGGCATGGTGATGCATGCCTTTAATCCCAGTGCTTGAGAGGCAGAGTCAGGTGGATTTCTATAAGATGGAGGCCAGCCTGATCTACACAGTAAGTTAAGTTCCAGGCCACCTGAGGCTAGAGAGAAACCCTGTCTCAAAAAATAAAGTTCAGCCTCAACTTTGGAGGGGGAGAGGTAGAAGCTGGTATGCACTCATTGCATACAAATGCTCAGGACCTGCAGCCAAAATGCAAGCCTCATTTGAGGAGATTACTCTCCCAGATCTCTTCTGGACTCAGCAATAAGGAAGTAGCTGTTTGAGTAGCATAAAGCTTTCTGTGGCTATCAGTGATCTGTGCCAGCAAGCCTAGAATGTCTGGGCTTTTGAACTACAATCCAGGAGCCCCAGATTCATTTTGGACTGGACACTCAGAGTGTCGGGCATCCCTCATGCCCTTGGAGGACAGGCATTAACAGTGATAGGTAGGCTGAGCCTGCTAGGCTGATGACTGCCCTTTCTCCCTGCTCACACCCCTGGCTGGTTCCCCAGGTATTCCTGAAGAGTGACAGCCTGTGTCTGATGGAAGGACGGCGCTTCCGGGCCCAGCCTACCCTGCCTTCTGCCCGCTTGCTGGCCATGCACATTCAACAACTAGAGACAGGAGGCTTCACCATGACTAACGGAGCCCACAGATGGAGCAAACTCAGGTGAGAGGGCTTCACCATGTCCAGCAGTGCCCAGAGGTGAAGTAAACTCAGGTGAGGGGGCTGCACCAGACCTAGTAGATTGCATAGGTGAGCAAGCTCAAGTGCATGTCCCCTGCATCTATTTTTTTTCTTGTTTGTTTAAAACAGGGTCTCACTACATAGTCCTAGCTAACCTGGAATTCACTGTGTAGACCAGGCTGGTCCTGAACTGAGATCCACCTTACTCTGCCTCCTGAATACTGGGACTAAAAGTATGCACAACCATGCCAGGCTTCTCTACATCTTTGATCTACTCTGCCCAGAGCCATCTATGTGGCCCTACCCTATGGATGTGTCTCATATCTCCTCATCTCCCATCTCCTCTCACTGTCCACAGTGGTCAGGTAATAGTCTTGCTGGACAGATGAGACCCAGAGGACCCTGTGAGCAGAGGCTCTAGCCCACTCAGTACAAGATCCTCCTTTTGTGTGTCTGTGTATTTGTGTGTATATGTGGATGCACATGTACATGTGGACACGTTTGTGGAGATCTGAACAACCTCAACTGTCATTCCTTAGGCACCATTCACCTTGTTTTTTTTGAGACAGAGTCTCTCACCTGGGGCTCACCAATTAGGCTAGGCTGGCTGGCCAGAAAGACCCAGGGATCCAACCATCTCCATCTCCCCAGAGCTGAGATTACAGGTGCTGGTCAATGTACCCAGCTTTTTTACATGGATGCTGGGGATCAATTCAGTTTCTCAAGCTTATATAGCAAGCATTTTACTAACTGAGCTATTTCTCTAGCCCCAAGATCCCCTTTTTAGATAACCACCAAGTTGTTTTTTTCCAAGCCAAATTGTATCCAGCTCTATTAAAGATACTTTTCATAAACATTCATGGTGTTTTAGACAGGACATGGGCAGAAAATCATTAACAGTATACAAGAACTTTTAAATTCTCCCTTCTTGTATGGACTACCAAAATCAGAAAGCCACTAAAAAATTCAATAAAGTCTTCATTTTATGCTCTGAGTAGGGAAAGTTTAGAGTAAGGATTGACATTTTACATTAAGCATGTTGTTTAACAGCTCTTCACAAACTGACCCTGACTTTCAGGAAATGAAATGAACATACCAGAATTATTGATCTGAAGACCCACAGTCTTTTATAAAAGGAAACACTGTTCTTCTGAAGTCACTGCAAAGTCCAGATTGCCCAATATACTGGCAAAACCAATTTTAGGGGGTCAGGTCCCAAGAGGTCTCTGGGTTTTTTTTTTTTAACTTTTTAAAAAATTTTATTTATTTATTTTTAGTTTATGTGTATGTGTGTATTGCCTGCATGTAGGTAAGTGCACCCATGCATGCAATGCCCACAGAGGTCAGAAGAGGCTGTCGTATCCCCTGGGACTGGAGTTAGGGACAGTTGTTAGCTGTCATGTGGGTGCTAGACAGTTGTTAGCTGCCATGTGGGTGTTGGGATTCGAACCCCGGTTTTCTGTAAGAACAACCAGTGTTCTTAACCACTGAGCCATCTCTCCAGCCCCAAAGTCTCTGGTTTTAAGGAAGTTAAGTCTATGTTGATTTGAAGTTGGAGGAAGAAGAGGATATAAAAATTAATTTTGGAATTTTCCCACACCACAAGGCATTATGTGCCAAGGTGGCCAAGTGTGTCAACATCAGGAAATCCCCTCACAGGAGCCAAGAGGAGTCTCAAAACTAGCAGAGAAAGGTGTCCCTTCCACATCAATCCAGCTAGGGAGACATTTGGTAGTGACACATCAAAACAATGAAGTATTCTGTGTGTCAACAACAGAGCTTTTAAAAAAGTAAAACAAAATTCTGTGTTTTTTTAAAACTTGATTAAAAAAAAATAGTATTCCAAACTGTACAGTCACCAAAAGTACTCAGTTATCAGAAGTGCACAGACTTCAGTGGCATCTCCAGCACCTCTGCTTTCTGTGCCTGGTCTGTTTGGCGTCTTCATTTTCTGCAAGATTATTCTAATCCTTGCGGCATCAGCTTCTCCCTTTTCCCTCTGGACACCTTCTCTCGCTTCTTTGTGGGGCCTTTTTAGTCCTGGGCTCTGGCTTTGGATGAGTAGGTTTGTGGATAATGTAGCAGACCTTCTTTGTCTTGGCCTTCACCTTGGCTTTATCTCCTTTAGCAACCCCTTCAGCCTTTCTTTGAGGCAGAGTTTGGGGTTGGGGGAGAAAACACAATGCAGACGCTAAACAAGGGATGCAGGGGTTACTCCTGCTTCTTCGCACTGCTCAGGTTCTGGGGGGTTTATGACATTTTTATAGTGGTGGGAACCCCAGACTGGTTAGAGATAACCACCAAGTTTTAAGAATAATGAAAATGCACTAGAAGTACAAGCTTACTGTAATACGAAAGATAAAGATAGCTGTGTCAGCAAAAAGGAAATTAAACACCAGAGGTGACACCACAGAACCCAAGCAAGGACCTTTGCTCTTCACAACCCTATGTATGTACTTGAACATGGTTGCTGTCCTTTAAGGAACAAGAACAATGGCTGTACTGGTCTCATGAGCTCGGTTAGGTAGACCTGTCTGTAGGTCTTTGGGTCCCCAGGTAGCAAAAAAAAGAGCTTCTGAGTTCCCCAGTGCCCAGTTACCACCAGTGGTATGCCTGCCGCTGTGAAACAACCAGTCCTCCAGGAGAAACCATCCAGGAAAGACTCCACACACACAAAACCAGGCAGCACTGGTTTTGTTTATTTCTATATTGGAGCCCTCAACTGGAGCAGCCCGACACAAGTTTTCAATAAACACTTGTGAAGAGCAGGTGGGTGAGGGGACAGGCTTAGTCATGAAGTGTGCGTGCAGAACACCCATCCTCTGGTGTCGTGCTTTGGGAAATGTTTGGTTTGAGCCATTCCTGAGAACACACTAGGGTTAGCTGACGACAGAGAATAGCCTCCCTGTGATCTCTGCAAGCTAACATAGCTTTTCTTCCCCCACAAAAGAAACATCGCCAAGGTGGCAAGCCAGGTGCACGCATTCCAGGAGAACCCATACACGTTCAGCCCTGACCCTAAGCTACAGGCGTACCTCAAGCAAAGAATTGCCCGTTTTAGCGGGGCTGACATTTCCATCTTAGCAGCAGACAACAGGGCCAACTTCCACCAGATTCCAAGTGAGAAGCATTCTCGGAAGATTCAGGACAAACTTCGGCGAATGAAAGCCACGTTCCAGTAGCCAAGGGTACCACCACCTGGATGTGGACTTCAAATGGGACAAGACCTGGGGAGATGAGTCCAGTGGAAGGAATACCCAGGGCCACAGGCTGAGGCCTGCACTCACTGAGTGCCCCCAGGGAAAGGAGTTTTCCCAGAGCAGAAGTGGAAACTGCAAGGGACTAACCTAAGGCCCTCATCCACAGGGAGGACTAAACCAACACCAAGTCCAAGCCAGCTCCAGCCCCAGCCCCCAGGGCAAGCTGGACACAGAGTTGGGTGGGCCTGTTTTTGCTAGAATTTAAAAATCAAATTTAAAAACAAAAAGGGAATAAGTAACCTTCCCGCAAAGCTTCAAACCTATCTGTCTCTCCTAGATCAATGGTTCTTACCTATTTTTCATTGACCACCCTCCTCAAACCCAACATACACCCACATCTGACTCAACCAAGCTCAAACCTTAGCTGCTTACTGAGCAGTGTTTTAGTGTCTGCTCAACAAGAGAGACCAAAACTGACCTTTGCACCCATGGGCTCCAGAAGGTCTGGAACCTTCCACTGAAGTTCAAGGCTTCTAGACAACTTGGCTCCCACCCCACCCTCAGCCTACTCTCTCAAAGTCCCCTAGCCCCTAGTCCCTAGAGAATGGGGAAAGCAGCCTATGTCCCAGCTGGGCCTCTCACCTCAGGCACTGCTCCTCCCTGTGACCTGCTGTCCCCCCATCCCCAGCTTACAGCAGCCACAGTTGACAGGATGCTGGGCAGAGGCTCTGCCCCCTGGAAAAGGGGGGGAAAGGGCACTGCATACTAATAGCAGCCCCAAAGAAGGTATGCCACCTTGGGGTCCTGGGAGCATGGTCTCTTCATCGCCAAGTGGGCCCTAAGAAAGGCTGCCCACCAGCCTTCAGCACCTGTGCATGCGCACACCCATCCACTGTGTTCCTTTGGCTCTGCACGCCACTAGTGCTTTGTCAGACAGACAGGGATGTGAATGAAACTTGCTGCCTTGGTGGCATCAGGCACCTGGAGTTATGGATCCTTAGTAGCTGGGCTGGGCCCTGGCTCAGTAGTTGGGAGGTCCTCTGGCTAGGAGGCCTGGGATATGGTAAAGTGCAGTGGGTGAGAAAGACTCTTTGTCAAGTGCCTTTTAGGTACCTGGCATCATCTCAAGTCCTGCCTGCACCAAGACCAAGACTGTACTGTGTTTTAGAAGTAGTGATTCTGTAGTAAAGCAGCTAGTGGTATATTTCTAGGAAGCTGTGACTTGTGACCAAATGCTGGATTTTTAACACCAAGATGTGTTTTCCCACATGAATTTGCTGGAGACACCAGGCGCTGCTTACACTGGATGTAAGCAGGGACTGGGCGTCCTGGCTATGTACATGCAACTCGCTGTTTTGGGATTTTTCTATGAGGTTATGCTCTGCTGATCAACGCCTACATTTTCAGATTTTGTATCTAGTGCAGGAGGTGTCCAGCGCAAACCAGCATTTCTACAGTGCTGACTTATTGCGTGGGGAAGTGAATGGGCTTTGGCTTCAGCACTGTTTGCATGGCGCCCTGATGTCACGAGGTACAGATTTCTAAATAAAGTCATTTCTACCAAGCTACTGCCATGTTGCCTTTTTATGGATCTCAAAAGCAACACCCACTCTAAGGCTAAAGTAGGTCGGTCCCCCCTGCCTGAGCAAAGAACACCTCACAGGTGGCCTCAAGGTAGAGTAGATGTGCCCAGCCCAGGATTGAGAACCAAATTTCACATCCTTGATCATATTCACACCCTCAGTACCACAAGGACCAAGTCTGGCAGACTCACATCTAATTCAACAGCACTGCCAAGAACCAAGACCCTCCAAATCCCAGGCATGTAAACAGGTATATCCTTCTGCTTCAGGAAATTCCCCACCTCTGGTGACCAGAGCTCACTTGCCCATACCACCAACTGGGGGCTACCTTGCTTTAACCCAGTTCACCCCAGTCAGTTCCCACTAATAGCCTGGGGGTAGGACAGAGCTGATTCCTTCTATCACTCATCTTACCCAGCAGGACCTGGCCAGAGCTTCTAACATCTCAGAGAGAGGGTGGGATGGAGTTGGTAGGAGGGGTGGGGCTTGCACCTCAATGGAATCATTCTGGATACAGTGAAGGGACATGGTTAATTAAGGCCAGGGGCTCTTAGAGTATTGGAGTGCATATTGGATTTTTGTTGTTGAGACAAGGTCTCCCTGTAGCCCAAGCTGACCTGGAACTCACTATGTAGGCTACGCTGCCCTGATCTCACAAAGATCCATCCTTACTAGGATTAAAGACATACTCACTGTTGGGCATGATGGCACATGCCTTTAATCCCAGCACTTGGGAGGCAGAGGCCAGCCTGGTCTCCATAGTGAATCCAGGCCAGCTATGGCTACAGGGAGACCCTGTCTCAAAAAGACAAAAAAAAAAAAAAAAAAAAAAAAAAAAAAAAGACATACCAACAACACCCAGTGTACTGAATTTTTTAAATAAAAGAGCTGGCAGGTCTAGGGAAGTTTTCATGACAAAAGACCTATCTGCCCAGCAATTTTGCCAATACAGATAGTGAATAGGTAAAGTCTGTTAATTCAGACAATGATCCCACTGGGTGACTTTGGTCTTACCATACCCCCAAGTCACTGGAACCCTAGTACCCTCTTCACCAGCTTGTCCTCCCCGGAGACTAGACAGATGCTACCCAGGTGTAGTAGCACTTGAAGAAGTGATAGCCAATGGCTCTTAAGTCTCAGTGAGCCCCACCTCTCAGGTCCTGGCCCTGTGTAATCCTCTCTCCCAGAATTGGGCCTGGACCCTGGTCTTAAGCACTGTGTCTGGGGGAAGCCTCCAATACAGAGGAGTTTGATGACCCTAACATTACCATGCTGGGAGTAAATTCAAGATTGCCATGTGTTGGGTTGCAAGGGCAAAGATGGCCCATCAGCCCCAACTGCCTGGCTCTAGCCACTAGGTACCATTGCATGGCATTTGAACCTGTGTCCTAAGGACCCTGATGTCCAGAATACTGTCCGAGGCACGCTAGGCCTGGCATGGCCAGCCAGAGGCCACCCTGGCCTATTCCACTCGTGAGAAACACAAACTAGTGGTCTTTGCCCAGTCTCTGTCCAAGCTGCTGACCACAAATCATTAGCTAATGAAAGGGTGGCTGGTCTTTGTCATTGCTTTGTAGAAGCTCACACCACTGCAAGACTACTAAAACCCCAAAGGTAGGGTGCCAAGCTCATCAGCTTTGTTCTGACACTCTGTTGGTATCTGTCTGTAAAAGTAGGGTTCTTGGGACTAGAGAGATGGCTCAGTGGTTAAGAGCTGCTCCTGCAGAAGACTGAGTTCAGTCCCCAAGCACCCACATGGTAGCCAACAACTGAAACTCCAGTTCCAGGGAACGTGATGCCCTCTTCTGACCCCTCAAGCATTGCACACATGGGTGCACTTACATACATACAGGCAATACATGTAAAATAAAAAATTTTTCAAATTTTGATTTTTTTATGTAGGCTTCTTGCAGCTAGTCCACTGACTACCAGGGACTCCCTTTCCCATCTTTTTATATCTTATTTCTTTCTCTTGTCTTACTACGCTGGCCAACTCTACAGTCAGGCTGAAGAGAATTGATACTGGGCATCCTCTGCTTGGTCCTAATCTTGGAGAGGGTGGAAGTGTTCCATACTTAATGTCACCTATGTTAGTAGATACATTTTACCATCCTAAAGAGATTCCTTCCTGTGCCATGTGTAAATTAAACATGGCTGCCCAACAGCAGGTCATTGATTGCTATCAAATCTAGCACCCAAGTGGCCTCCTTCCAGTAACGAACACCCCTACCGTTTCCTAAATTAGTAAACTGGATACAGCACATGTCCATCTTCCAAAGCCCACAGCCAGATGTAGATGGGGAGGGTAACACACAAGTTACATGAAAGAACTAGACGAAAAGGTGACAGCATTTTGCATTTTGGAGGTATTCCAAGGCTGTTTATGGGTGGCCATTAATGGGCAGAACAAATGTAAAAAGCGAGGCGTCCCCTACCCGCCCTCCTCACGCTTCATCCAACAGGTGCAAAGCTGCGTTCTCCAGGCCTAGGACCCCTAAAGAAAGGGCTCTAAACCCGAGGCACAAACCCCGACCCAGTGGAAACCGGCGGACCGGAGGGGCGGAGCGAGGAGGGGCGGGGCGGCCCTGCGGTGGGAGGGTCGCACAGACCCCCCGCGGGGTCCTCAGAGCGCATGTGGGCGGCTCGCCAGGCGTTCACCTGTCCGGTATCCCTACAGCCCGGGAACCCGCGCACCCGGACCCGGTCCCGGGATGCTGCTCCGGCCCCGGCGGCCGCCCCTGTTCTCACCGCCGTCGCCGGCTAGCCCCGACGCCGAGCTGCGGCCGGCCTCAGACATCCCGAGGACCCCTCCCAGGGCCTTCGCCGCTCCGGGCGCGCTGGCGGAGCCGGGATCGCCCAAGTCCCCCGTGTCCCCGGGCTCGGCGCAGCGCACGCCCTGGAGTGCCCGGGAGACGGAGCTGCTTCTGGGCACGCTCTTGCAGCCGACCGTCTGGCGCTCGCTCCTGCTGGACCGCCGGCAGGCCCTGCCCACCTACCGCCGCGTGTCTGCCGCGTTGGCCCGCCAGCAAGTCCTGCGCACGCCCGCGCAGTGCCGGCGCCGCTACAAGTTCCTCAAGGACAAGCTCCGCGACGCCCAGGGCCAGCCTTCCGGGCCCTACGACGACCAAATCCGCGAGCTTGTGGGGCTGCTGGGCGACCATGGGCACAGGCGGGTCCGCCGCCGCCCTCCCGGGCCTGGGCGCCCACAGCGAGGCCGCCGCTCGACCCTCACGATGGGACCACCCGCTCCGGCACCGGAGGAGCCAGGTAGGGCGGGAGCTTTGCGGGCCCCGCTGGATCTCCCCGGGAGGGGCGGGGAAACCTACCGACCACGCACTTCGTTCCCTAGGGGCTGCGCTGAAGCCGACCACCCGGGACGCCGACACCGACCCCGCTTCCGCGCTCAGGTTCAGCTCCTCCACGAAGTCCGCGGAAGCCTCCCGCCCGCCCGGCTCCCCGCCCGCCCTTACGGCCCTCGGCACCCTGGCTCCTGAGCCGGGCTGTGTCCAGGGATCGCCCCCGCCGCCAACCCTCGACCACGCCATGGAAGACCCGGACGACCCTCCTGGCTTTCCTCGGGACCGCGCGCCACCCCAGCCCGCTCCCCCGTCGCTGAACGCCGCTCTGCTGCAGACCCTGACGCACTTGGGCGACATCGTATCCGTCCTGGGCCCGCTGCGCGACCAGTTGACTACCCTGAACCAGCACGTGGAGCAGCTGCGAGGTTCCTTCGACCAGACCGTGTCCCTGGCCGTGGGCTTCATTCTTGGCAGTGCGGCTGCCGAGCGAGGCGTCCTTGGGGACCCGCGCCAGTAAGGCCTTGTTTGTTGTCAGCTCCCCCATCCAGAGCCCACTCCTCAGGCTACCTCTACCTCCCTGTGCAGTCTCCACCCCGACCCCTAACCCTAACTCCGTTTAATAAAGATTGTTTTCTACTTAAAACCTGAGTGCAGGTTCCATGTCTAGGTAAGGATGGCCCCCTGCGGGTAGAGGATGCGAAGGTCAGAGCAAGGTTAAAAGCCTCGGGATGCTAAAGTGGCCCCACGCTTCCGCTGTGGGAAGCGGTTTGTTGGCGAAGTCTCCCAAGGGTGGAGGATGATACACAGATAATATCTGCTGCTGAGGGTGCTAGGGACAGGCTAGACCTACCCACCTGGGATGGGCCAGAAGGCAGACCTCATGCTGTGTGTAAGTGGAGTTTCTCTGATTTGGAAAAGTATAAAGCACAGCTCCTGGTAAGATCCCCATGAAAGGTTTGGGGCCAGGTGCCTCCAGTTCCTAAGGATTTAGCAAAACCAAACTGCCCAGTAGGAATTTTTAAAATTTGAAATTCTAAGGCCCTCTGGGAGAGTCGGGGTGGGGGAGGGCCTGGGTGGAGCTAAAAAACGAGGATATCACCGCAGGCACCTCACTAGCATGACAATGCCTGCTCCGGTGGGCTCCGGCTCCATCTGGCCCACACTGCTCACCCAGAGACTGATGCAGTCCTTTTTTAGGGGTTGTATGGAGTTTTTGAAGGTGGTCCCAAGGTCACAGGCTCATTCCCCTTCTAAAGATTAGGATTAGTTCTTACTGCACTGATGGCAATTGTGAGCCTCTAGCCAGGTACTGGGACTTTTGTGTGAAACACCAAGTAGGGGCTGATTCCTGTTACCTCTTAAGGTAACACATTCCCTGAGGAGAATCTTTAGGCCTCTAAAAACTGGGTGAGCCTAGGTTGGAAATACATCCCAGGTACACACAAATCTTGGGAAGTCAGAGCTACATGCTGTGGACACTCTAGGTGGGAATCTCAGACACAGCCCAGGTGCCTCTACAACCCTGTCACTCAAAGACTATATTTTCCAGCAAATGTACCCATACTTGGGTTGGAATCTTGTTGGAGGAGCCAGTCTCTGGTCCAGAAAGAGACTCACATAAGGGTCTGAACTAAGCTATTTCGAGCCAAAGAGACCCCTTGCTTCACTCATTCCCAGCTGGAGAAATGCCTCTCTTGTAACCTGGGGAGGGGAGTGAGTTTTGTCTGTTTTTTTTAAATAGATTTAGGGATATGTTTTTAGTTTTCTGTGCATACCTAAGACCAATACTTTAAACTCATCTGAGCTGCTTTAAAACAAAAAAACTAGCCCTTAGCTGGCCTCAAACTCAGAGATCCACCTGCCTCTGCCTCCTGAGTGCTGGTATTAAGGGCATGGTGTCCAGCCCCTGTTGGTTTGTCTTTCACCATACCTTCACATTTTCAATACCCTTTATTTAACTGTAGCCATCCTAGTGGTGTGAGGTTCACACCTTTTATTGTTTTATGGAATGTGGAGTTAAAGAAATGCCCTATGACTGGGTACTTTATGCTCTCATTCAGCTGGATGAACTTTCCTTTCTGCTGAGTTGTGACCAGTCCCTGTAGAGTCTGCTCCTGTGTCAGACTGATAGGGCCTGCCCTCTTGTGGGCTCCCTTCCCAGTTTCTGAGCCACGTAATTGATCTTACCTTCAGGAATTAACTGGGTTGCTGACTACAGACTACTGCCCTGGGAGCAGACTCCTGTGACAAGTTGTGGGGGGATTTGGGGCACTACCCTCTCCTATCGGGCTTTGTACTATATGCCTTCCCACCCCAGGACCAAGACTGAGCTGTCCTCTTTGTCTGGCATAAGGCCTATTACCCTGCCTGGTCCTCCCATCCTACCCTAAATCTATGTATGCTCTGAGGGTACCAGTGTCTATGCTTTCTCAAGTTGATGCTTAATGGAATCTGGACCCCTGTAAAGACAGCTCTTCCTAGTGATTCAGTGATAAGGGAATATCAATAATGTTAAACTTTATTTTCTTCTAAGTAGTTAAATAATCTTATTAGTTTGGGTTTCATCTTTGGAGAAGGTGGCTCTACAGCTTTGCTTTTTGTGTTTTTTTTGGGGGGGGGTTTTGGTTGGTTGGTTTTGCTTGAAAGGGAATGAGTAAGAGGCGGGACTAAAATTTAATGTAGTTCTATTATAGAGCACTTGCATGTATGGAGCGCTTGACTCAGTCCCCACAATCAATCAATCCGTTACAGCTTCAAGTTCACAATTTCCTTCCTCCTGATTCTCATCTATCCAAATTAATAACTGGTCTCTCCACTTGTTCTTTTTTTATTTTTAAGTTATTTTTATTTTTTAGGACAAGGTCTCACTATGTAGCTCTGGCTGGCCTAGAGCCTTCTACATAAATCAGGCTAGCCTGGAACTCAGAGATCTGCCTGCCTCTGCCTCCTGGGTGTTAGGATTAAAAGTGTGCATGGCTTGGCTTGTTGCTCTTAATTACATCAGATATACAAGGTCCCACCAGTGAAACTTTTCATGCTGTCAATTCTCAAATTCCTGAATAGCTCTGCAGCTACTGGCTTGCCTAACCAAGACATTGGATTTTGATGGACTATGCAAAGAACACATTGCTTAGGTTTTGGGGAACCTGTGTTCCCTCAGACTTAGGAGGCATGGAGATTCCTGTTCCCCTCAGCTCTCCAACATCCTAAGACTGACCAGTTACTAGCTGACCTTGCTGACTGCCATGCCCACAGTGGGGCTATCTATTCCTGGTCACCTGTCAGTGTTTCTCAGCATCACTGAAGGCTTGGTTGGTACCTAGCTTGTTTTGTTTGTCACACAATATCCATGTTAGTTCATGGCTCTTCCCAGGCCTCGGACATTGCAATTCTCTTCCTCCAGTAGCATCTGGCAGGTCTCAGGTTCATGTCTGACTTCATCCAGTTACACCCATGTAAGTAATTGCTCTTCCTGGTAAGATTTCTGTTCATACAAGGAGTCTTGCCGGTTTCCTACCCATTGGAAATCCCTGGTCCTATGCCTCTGCTTTTCTGTGGTACTTCCCTTACCCCAGCCCATGACTGAAAACTCTTGATTTCCTAATTGCATGGTCCCCTCCACCATGGGAGTACTGTGTCCCTTGGCTCCACTTGTGATTCTGTCTTGGGACATGCTACTTATTGTTCATTGAGTCCCCAGGAACAGATCTATGCTCCCAGTGACTGGTATTCACTGGCCACTCATCATTTCTATCATTCCTCTCCAAGATGAGCTCTTGGTCCCTAGCATATTTACAGACATGCTGCCCCTCAAGCTTTGATTTGTCTTTTCTTATAACACCAAAGCACACTGCACTCTACTGTGCATGTAGTACTGAGCAGCATTCCTGGGATAGCAAAATGTTCTGTAACTCTCCCAGCCTTTGAAATGTGTCCAGTATAACCCAGAACTGATTTTATTTTATTTTATGTTCATATGCCTGTGTAATATGTGTACCATATGTATGTAGAAGCCTATGGAAGTCAGAAGAGGGTTTTAGATTCCCCTGGAACTGGAGTTACAGGTGGTCGTGAATCACCACGTGGGTGCTAGGAACTGAACTCTGGTACTCTGCAAGAGCAGCAAGTGCTTTTAACCCCTGAATCATATCTTTAGCCCTGCTGCCCTGATTTTTTAAAAGACAAGGTTTCACTGTAGCCCAGGAAAGGCTTGAACTCTCAGCAATCCTCCTGCCTCAGTCTTCTGAGTGCCAGGACTGCAGGTGTACCCCATGAAACCAGACTAGAACTGATTTATTTTTTCTTTAGTTTCCTTTAATTCAAGACACCACCTGCTCCTCACAGCTCATGCTGGCCATCTTGCCTGCCTTAGATTTAAATTTGGCCCACTGCAAAGTTCCAACCCCTCCGCCGCTGGTTACAGGCCAGGGGGTAAGGCTGGCACAGTGAGGCATTAGCCAGGTCTCCTTCTTACTCACCTCTTCAGAGCGGCTCCCCAGCCCATAAGGTACAGACTCACCTTCAGCATCCACTCCTATTTATCCACATGGTGGGGGGGCATCTACAGAGTTATGGGACCTCAAATGCCAGGTTGTGAGCCCATCCAGTCACTGAACCACACGTAGGAGGCCTTGGCCTCTGGACTGTGGGAGAGGAATTAGAACGCATCCTGGAAGTCATAAACAGAAAAGTCGCAGGTACACAGCTGATTAAAGCAAAGGGAATAAGGCTGTCCTGAGGGGAGGGCAACCAGAGTCCCCGGCAGCATCTAAAAGAGGGATGGCAAGATGGCCTGAGCCAGCCAGGACCGGGAAAACGGTGGAAACTTTACTAGTACTACCCTGGACTTATAATGGATGGAGTCCACGGTAGGGATTCCGGTCTTCCTCCATACAAGGAAGCGGGTCCTCCTGAGAGAGGGTGCCCGAATCTACAGTTAGGGTTCCGGCCTCACCTGGCCCACTCCATGACAACACACTACGCAATTGCGGGCTTCCTGTTCCGAACCCTCCAGTAATTCATTGAGCCTCCCCTCACATTCCACAGCGTTCTAAGGCCCTCGTGGGTTAGGAAACGGTTTTTCAGACTTGCCCCAGGTTCACACCTTCCCTTCCCACCAGCCTCTCCTGCAACCGGGTGGATAGTGGGTTGAGCAGAAGTAGGCCCCTTCCTAGACCTCCTGGGAAGAGCAGGCTGCCCAGGAACTGGGCCGTGAAGACTTAAGTATCCAGACCGACCAAGCCTGGAAGTGCACTAGGACTTAACCCCACCTCCTCGGGAATCTGAAACCTCCATTTACGGGGGGGGGGGCTCAGAGAGTGGTAATGCCCACGCAATCCCCCCTCCCCCCTCGCGGTTTCGGCTTTTCCTTAGGCGCGCAAACTGCAGCCTCGGGCCAGGAGGGAGGGGGCCCGGAAGGCGGGTAGGGGGTGGAGTGAGTGTGTTGGAAAACAACTGAGGCACTGAAGGGCAGATGGGGGGAGGGGTGGAGTGAGAGCGGGTTTGGAGAACCCGGCGGAGGAGCTGATCACGTGATTACAGGGGTGGGCTGGGCCAAGGACCCCTTAAAGACTCTGGAGATGGCTCCGCGCCGTCCCCTAGGTCCAGAGCGGCACGAGAACACCCTTTAGCACTTAGCCCCGGAAGTGTGTTAAGCGCGCGGGAGCAGGTGAGCCTTTGTGAAGTGGTGGACCACCTCTTGGGCCAGGAGGGGAGGCGGGGTCAGAGGCGGGGCGGAGGTTACAGATTCCCTGGAAGGGCGGGGTCCGAAGCCGGGGTGGGGCGTACGGGACCACTGAGGGATTGGGACGAGAGCGGGGAAGGCTAGGCGAAAACTGGGAGACCGGTCTCGGAACAAGGGGACCACCTCCACCACCTCCCCGCTGGAGCTGCTCCCGCTGGGTAGGGCCCGGTGGGAGAAAGCCTGTGGCTTTGCTGATTCGGTCACCTTCGCACTCGATAGTCCACAGTGGGGAGAGCCGAGGTGCAGAACGCAGAGAGGGGCTGTGCAGGGCTGAGAGACCGCGGAGACCTAGAACTGAAGAAGCGCCCCCGGGTCTTTTCCGTGCCTGTGGCTGAGGTTTCATCAGTTAAGCCTTTGGTTTACTTGAGGAATGGGCTAGTCTTTTCTGGACACATCACGCAGCTATGTGGGGGAGGTGCCTACTGGCAGCCCCACCATCGAACGGGTCAGTCCCCACGGTCCCAGCCCTGCGACGCTCCAGCTTCGCCCCCTGAGATCTGCAAGAGACGGGCCACCCACGTGACTCAAATCCCGCCTTCCGGAGAACGAGACGCCCGGGAGACGGAGAGGTACCAGCCAGCCATCCTTCCAGAGGCCACCAGGCTGTGACTCTGCATGATTCGCCTGAAAATCCCTAGGCCACAGGCGGTGCAGCCCCTGACCTGGAACCTGCACGAAGACCTAGGTTTGCTACCGGCCCCTCCCACTGTTTGGGTGCGGCTGGCTCTTCAGGGCTGAGCCTCCCACTTCCTCTTCGCAGTGCAGGAGAATGAGCGCGAGCTATAATCCCGTGCACAGCTGCTGTGCACAGCCCCCAGGCCTTTGATCTGTATCTGGCGGGGCCTTGCGTCCAGGTGGACCTGGCCCCCATTGACGCCTGCGGCCACAAGAGTCTAATCTGCTGATTTAGAGTCCCACATCGGGGCGTTTCTGCAGGCTGGGGTAAAAAGATGAAAGAATGTAAGAAGTCCTCCAAACTTCTCGGTGGCCCCTGCCCTTCCCAGACATCTTGGAGCCAAGGAGATGTGAAGTACCTCCGAAGACAGATGCTACTTACCTGTGGGATTTGCAGCCCCTTCCTTCCCCTTTGCCTTGGGTTTGTAAATCCTGAGGCCCTCCTCTGTTTGACTAAGCCTTGAACTGACCTCCAAGATCCGTGGGCGATGTTCATCATGCCTCCTGGCCCTGCAGCCTCTGTTCAGTGGACTAGCTCTCCCAGAACATCTGCTCAGGCCCAGGCTGGGCATGTGGCATTGGGGAGCCTGTTGGCATCCAGAAGCATAAACTCAGAGCTGACTTCAGGAACAATACTTGTAGCTAGTAGGTCTGGTTGGGGAGGGTGGCGGTCCTATTGTCCCTTCCAAGGCAGAACTATGCCCCCACTGCCCTGCTGCATCCCTCTGTGCCAGGTAGGAGTTATTGGGGGCATTTTGACTGTGGGTAGGGGGCCAACCTGTACTCTCTTGGTACTGAATGCTTGGAAACCATGCTGGGGATCTTCCCTCTCCAGTTCCTTCTAGGCCCCTCTTCCTGGTCCTTGGGTGAGGTTGGGCAGGCCCAGGACTTCACTGCTAACCAAGATGCTGACATGAACATCTTTGTATGCTTTGTGAGTTCCATAAGCAGCCAAATTCAGACTTTGACTCAGCATCCGAAGTCATTCATGGCTACTCGTGCTGGTGTGTTCTTACAGTGCTGCAGAGTCAGCCCTAGACCCAGGAATGCTAAACAGGCACACTACCCCTGGGCTACATCCCCAGCCCTTGTCCTTCAGCCTTTGTGACCTAGCTTTTAGGTTTAAAGTTCTCCTTGATCAAACGTGGGGCTTCTATCATTTGTAAACTTAGATTTAAGAAAAAGTCTGAAGGGCTGGGGCTCAGTGGGAGAGAATTTGCCTGCTTTTCGAAAGACCCTAACCTCAATCCCAAGTTTGAATGATCCTTAAGGAATAGTTGGTGGTTAAGTGAGGTGAAAGTTTATGAAATTTTAAATACATTTTCCCCAGACACTTCCTAAGAGAGGCAGCCAGTTGTTCCTGCATGGAAGCCCATCCCTTTACCCCCCACTTCCGATAAGGTTCTTGGCTCTTCCTACCTGTTGTGTCCTTTCTGGTGAATGATAAAAACAAAGTTTAAAATCCTTTCCTAAAGTATCAGTACATTTGGATTAAACTGAGTAACATTGTTAGCCATGGGGGAGGGTCGTCATCATACTGCCAGGTCCGTCCCCACCCCCAAACTCAAAGGGCCATCTGTAGAGCATCAAATGTCACTGGTTCTCACTTAGAAATTAGGAAACCGTTAACAAAGACACAGCGGGGAGTGACAGTGGCTCTGGCTGGGTCTCTGTCCCCTGGGCCTCCTAAGGAGGAATCCTGCCTCTCACCACCCCCTTCCCCCAAGTTTCCCCCAGGTGTACCTGGTAGAAACGCCCTCCCCTCAGCCCTTCCCCCACCCTCCTACCTGATAAATGCGCTCACCAGGGTTGTGACACTCCACTCTGATGGTTCTGACCTGCCAGATTTGTTTTTTTGTTGTGGTTTTACTCAAAGAACTCCATTCTCATTTATTATTATAGTAACTTAGTATACATATATGTATCATACATATTTTCTGTTTTCTTTCTCATATGTCTAGGAGGATTTTGCTTTTGTTTTTATTGCTTCTGTTTGATTCAGGAGCTCATGTATCCCAGGCTGGCCTCCAACTTGTTATATAACCACGAATGACCTTGAAATTCTGAGTGTTAGGGTTACAAGATTATACCACCCTGCTTGGTTTATTCAGGGCTGGAAATTGAGCCCAGGGCTACATGCATGCTAGGCAAACACCAACTGAGCTTCATCCTCAGTGCCAACCTCCCTCCCCGCCCCCAACTTGAGGCAGGGTCTGTAGCCCAGGCTGGCCTTAAACTCTATGTAGCTGAGAATGATCTTGAGTTTCTGATCTTCCTTCTTCCATCCTCTCCAGTGCTGGGATTACAGGTATGAACCATCAGTGATGCCTGGTTTGTCTGTTGCTAGGGAGGGATCACACCCAGAGCCTCAAGCATGCTAGGTAAGGACTTTACCAGCTGAGTTACATTCTCAGGCCATTAAAAAGTGTGTGCGTGTGTGTGTGTGTGTGTGTGTAGGCATGCACCCATGTGGAAGTCAAAGGACAAGTTTGTAAGTTCTCTCCTTCCCCCTTTACTTGGGTTTAAAGGTTGGACTCGGGTCTCCAGGTTTGTGTAGCCAGCAAGTTCACCCACTGAGCCATCCTGCCAACCTTTGTATGTTTGTTTGTTGTTTGTTTGAAACTGGGTCTCACTAGTTAACCCAGCCAGGCCTGGCACTTGAAGTAATCCTCCTGCCTCAGCTTTCTGCATGCTGTGATTAGAGGCATGAGGCACAGTTACCTGGCTTTATATCTGGGGGTTTTTCTTTCTGTTTTCCGTTGTTACTGCCATGAAACCACAGCTCTGTTTTGTCTGACAGTCCTCAGCCAGGACCTTCTCAGTGGTTACAGGGAGCTAGGCAGAGGTGTGTGTGTTAGTTTGCTAGGTTTGCCAAAACAAAACCTCACAGGCTAAATGCCTTCAACATACAATCCTGAAGGCTGCAGGGCTAGTCACCCAAGGCCACTCTGTGGCTGCCTGACAGTGATTCCTTTTGTGTGTCCTCACTTGACGTTGACTCTATCCCTGGTGGCCAGCTGTTTCCCTCTTATGAAGACTCTGGTCAAATTGGTTCTAGCAGGCTCATGAACTTTAGCCTTAATTACTCCTTGAAAGTCCTTTCTTCAGCTACAGCCATAATGGAAACAAGCTTCAAAGTAATAGTTTTAGGGAGATACCATTTCATCCAAACTGAGGCCTTGTAGGTTGTCTTCTGACTGGGAGGACAGCTTCTTAGGGGAGAGTTAGGATTCCTCACAGTGCTCCTGCCAACGTGATCTCTGTGCATGACGGCATGTGCAAATCCTAATGGAAGTATTAGGGCTGGCAACATATGGCTCAGCACGTAAACGTACTTCTAGGACTGGAGCGATGGCTCAGTGGTTAGGAGCACTGCTGCTCTTGCAGAAGGCCTGGGTTCGAATGAATCTCATCACCCATATGGTGGCTAACAACCATCTGTAACTCCAGTTCCAGGGAATCTGATACCCTCTTCTGACTTCTGCAGGCACTGCACAGCACAAGTGCACATACAGGCATAACACATATGCATAAAATAAATAAATAAAAGGGGAAGGTACATATGAGAGTACTGTCATGTATGGAGCCTGACATTGTCAGAAATATACTTGTGTGGTACCAAACTTTAAAAAAAAAGGTACTGGGCTGGAGAGAGGGCTCAGTGCTTAAGAAAGAATACTGGCTATTCTTACAGAAGACCTGGGTTTGAATCCCAGCACCCACATGGTATCTAAGAACTGTATGTAACTCCAGTTCCAGGGCATCCAATGCCCTCTTTTGACCTCTGCCGGCATTGCATGACACAGGTGTACTTACATACATGCAGGCAATACACGCATACACTAAAAATAAAGTTTTTTAAAAAAAGGTACTTGTGGTCAAGCTTTATGACCTGGGTTCTATCCCTGGATCATACATAGTGGAAAGAAAGAACAAACTCCCAAAAGTTGTCCTCTGACTTCCACACATGTGCATGCCCCACACTAAATAAATAAATGTAAATTTAAAAAATACTTTTATTTATTTGCATTTTATGTGTATGAGTGTATTGCCTGCATGTATGTAAGTGCACCCATGTCGTGCAGTGCCTGCAAAGGTCAGAAGAGAGTGTTGGATTTCCCTCGAACTGGAGTTACAAACGGTTCTTAGCTGCTTAACCTGGGTCCTCTGCAAGAACAGTCGGTGTTTTTAACTGATGAGCCAACTCTCCAACCCAAAATAAATGTAATTTTTAAAATACTTTTTTGTTTATTATTTTATGTGTACTAGTGTATTGCCTACATGTATGTGAGTGCACCTATAACGTGCAATGCTTCGGAGGTCAGAAGAGGGCTTCAGATTCCCCTGGAACTGGAGTTGCAGACAGTTGTTAGCTGCCATGTGGATCCTGGGAATCGAACCCAGGGCCTCTGCAAGAGCAGTCAGTGCTCTTAACTGCTGAGCCATCTCTCCAGCCCCATAATGTAATTTTTTGAAAAAAGCTGTACAAGGGCACAGTTCTAGGACCTGTCAGAAGAAGATTAGGAAGCTTTGTGGTGATGCAGGCCTTTAATCCTGGAGGCAGAGACTGGTGGATCTCTATGAGATTGGGGCCACAGGGAGGCCTGTCTCAAAACGAAAAGGCAAAGAGAGGTAGAACAAACAATTAGGAAACCAGCATGGTGACTCACACCCGGAATCCCAGCACTTGACCAGATTGGGCTACAAACATACTTTGTCTTAAAACAAAATGTACAGTTACAGCCACCTGTGGTGAGTACACCTGGAATCTCAGCATTTAGGAGGCTGAGGTAGGAGGATTGCTTTGAGTTCAAGGCCAGTCTAGGCAGCATAATGAGATGCTAGCTCAACACCCCTCACCCCCCAAAAGCTCAGCTGCTCATAGAGTATTACAATATCCAGTGTTGAATTTCTAGCAGCCATAGAATAAAGCATGAAACA